ATTTATAGCATTAACTGCCTTCTAAATCAGCAGCAGTTCTGCCTAACAATTTGGCATTTGCACATTGCCTTGTAAATTATACACCTTACATCTTTGGGCACAAGGACCGGCCCCTCCAAAAAGCCTATTAGTGCCTTGGAGCAATTCTCGAGGAAGAAAATATCTTCTTTTGACAAAACGGGGGGAAAACGGCATTCAGTGGGCATGGTATTAACACTATGGCTCATAATGTTACTCTGGCAGTAAAATGAAACCCAGTGCAACCAGCTGGCTGCTATATTGCTATTAGATCCCTTTTTTTCTGTTTCTGACCTTTGCAGAATGCTTGGAAATGCATTAATCTATTCAAACCCCACTAAGGATCTAAAGCACCATGTGAGGTGAAGGCATTGATGAGAACATCCTCCTTTTGGGCAGGCTCAGGAAAAAATCTGCGATTCCCTCCAACGAGATTCACTTGCTTTTTGCGCGATGCTGAGCGAGGAAGCAGGCGAGGAGCAGATCCAAATTAAGTCACAAAACAGCAGGAAACCACTCAGCGATATCAGCAGTGATTTGTGCACTTCTTGGTTGAAAACAAAGAGCAGAGGTCTGCATTTACCTTCCCATTTCCTAGTAGCCTTCCCGCTTTTGTCTGCCTAAATCATAGGAGGCAAAAAAAAAAGAAAAAAAAATTCCTTCCTCAAACAGCTCTCAGCCTCGAGCTCCTCTGAAAATCCTTTTCGCTTATCTTTATTCACCGAGCCAGGCTCCTCATGCCTCCCCATTGACAAAGTGTAGGAAAATCACCAAATTAAGCGCCCAGCTCATGCCCTGCTGCAGAACAGCCCTCTCCCTGTCTGCACTCAGATCTTGTTTACTGTCAGTGCGCTCTGCTCTGCTTAGCCAGGCCTTCCGAGCACCACTTGCGTCTACAGACCTCGCGTTTTTGACTGAAAAAAAGGCACTGAAAAGACAGGAAACACACTGAAGTATCTCCCCTCCTGCCTTTTCCTCCTAAAATATGCTTTATTGATTTTGATGCATATTACGATCCCCAGGGGAAAAGGTAGTGTTAGAAATCGAGGGTCACCTAAGGACTCCCAGGCTGTCACTCTGCGCTGCATCGTGGCTGTTTGGAGCTTGACAGCAGCACTGAGACAGAATTCAGCTCTTTCTGCTTCAAAAGCACAGGCCGCTATTGTTGGGGCTGAAGAGGAATTTTCTGCTTCTTGTTTTTCAGGCTAAACTCCAACATACAGAGCTGCACAACTCTGATCCTGCCCAGAAAGAAAAGTAGTGACTCAAAGTAGCTTACTCATTGCCACCCTTTGGAACGAGTGGCTTTGTTAATGCTCCCTATGCTAACATTCAAGAAAACTGCATTTTCCCCTCCCCCCCTTTTTTTTTGGCATTTCAGATTCTTCCTCCTATTGGTGTGTTTTTAATTGCAAGGAAGGGTGATCCTCCAGCTTTGAGGGGCTGGAGCAAGAGCCAGGATTCGTGTCCCGAGGCTTCGAGAGGGAGAGGTGACCCGACCCGAACACTTCTGTGAACGGCAGGAGCGTAACAGGCATGTCTGCCCTTGGAGATCACGGCCCTCCTTGCTCCTGCAGGGAAGGGGCGAGCCTCCCACCTGCACGGTGATGGAAATGTCTGCTCCCTGGCAAAAAAAAAAAAAAAAAGCAAATAAAACCCTCCCTGCAGCCAGCAGCCAGCGATGCATATGAGATGACTGCCTTCTCAACATGAGAGCAAAAGGGCAAATGAATCACATTACACTCCATGAATAAAAACAGAGTCTTAATGCAACAGCTACTTAATGATTTCATTTTCAATACACTAGACAGTTTGGCCTCATTTGCAAAGGTGCTGAGCACCCCTGAGTCCCACTTAAGTTAATGGGAACCGCAACACTCTGCACCTCGGGACTCTCCAGCGGGCCCCTTATGTACTTAGGAAAATTCCCTCACCTGAGGGGCAGGGAGAGTTCCCTGAGATTTGTGGAAGCAAAAGCTGCGAGCAGAGAGGAGCTGTGCCAGAGACTTCCCACCCACAGCTGCACCTCAGTGCTGTGACCACTGAGCCCTGGATGCTCCTTCCAACTAGTCTTCCGAAACAAGGAATTGCGGCCGGAACGGAGAAAACAGCATTTTCAAGCCAGCCACAGTAACCTAAACAGGCTGTTTGGGGGGTGCTCAGGAGAAAGCACTTAGGGGAGGACCAGCAGCACAAACACCAGCTGAATGGCATTTAATTAATGGTTCGGGGCATCTAAGAACAGACCACAGCCGGTGGAGCAGTGAGCTCGGCACACGCAGCTGGTGAACAGACCCTTCTTGGATCACATCGGGGTGCCCGACACGCGGTCCCCGTGCCCAGGAGCAACTCCTGGCCCGGCAGCTCCTTTTCCCGTCGGAACGCGGACCCCATTCCTGGCACCGGCCTCCTCCGGAGGGAAACAGCCCTTCCAAACATCCCTGCGTCTGTTTGGAAAATACGGCGCGGGATCACCTCTCCAACACAATATCAGTCCTTTGGCACACAGAAAGAAGTCAAATGCAAAGCACTTATTGCCAAAACCTCTTCCTTCATTGTAAAGTACTGTTTAATTTTATCCCTCAGGCATCTATTATCTCATAGCCCATATTATTTTTCCAGCTATTACTGCTTAATTTTCCTCATCCAAAAAAGTGTGTACAGACAGCAGCCAATTTCCGCCTTGGCATAACTGTAGATGAGAAACAAGCAGCTGTTTCGCCAGGGTCCTAGCAAAGAGATCCCGAATCGCTGCTTCCCGGCTCTCCGCGGCGCTCCTGCAGGAAGCGGCTGCCGTCACGTGTCCCCTGCTCTGCGCTGGCTCCGGGCGTCGCGCCGGGACCCCTTGCTCATCACCTGCTGCTTCTGTGAAAACGAGGCCCAGAGCCAAGCTGCATGGGGCAAAACCATCTCTTTTTGTTTTCTTATTTTAATAAAAGTAGTATTAAATGTAACATGGGTGTGCATCCCTCGAGCCTGGCAGCCCTTGGGGTGCAGCATGGCGTGTGTTTCTGCTGCTTCTGCTGCTTTTTTAACACTTCATTCCTACTTCCTCCACGAGCCAAAGGCACCACCGCGCTTGCCTTTCTGTCTCTACCCTGACTCCAGATACTCAATTAAAGACAAGAAGGACAAACGGCGCTCGGAAAGCAGCTGCAAGTCTCAGTGCTTCGCACACGCTCCCGTCTTGTCCAGGGGGTGTTCCTGCAGCAAATAGAAATTGCAAGCCGAGGCCGAACGGCAATGAGTCAGGGAGGCAGAAAGGCGTGAAAGCCAAATGAATGGAGAGGCAATAAACGCGCCGTATTTCAGCGCCGCGGCGCCTAGCTGGAGTTACAGCGCGCTGGGGACGCCGCTGCCCGCGCCGGGACACCGCGCGGAGCCGGCCGGCCTCCGGGATGCTCCGGCGGGCACGGAGCCTCCTGCGGAGCAAAGAGGGAAGGTGCTCACGCTTTTACGTGCAAGAAAGGAAGAAACCAAGGGGGCGATGCCAGGAGGCCCTTGGATGGGACAGCGAGTCCGGGAGGGAAGCTGTGACCGTGCGGGAACGCTGCCTCCCGTGGGGACCTGGCCCGGGAAGTCCATGGCAGGGGGAAGAGAGGCACACGGAGGTCTCAGCTCTGGCACTAGGAGTAAATAAGATGTAATAGGATGTAATACGTACGTGTAAGGCACGGGAACCTGAAAAATACATTTTAAAGGGATTTTTTTTTGCATACGCGAAGTGCTCGAGCTCCTCTTCGAGGTAATGGCAGGCAAATCCTATTTCTCACCGTATTTACAAAGAGATTATAAAAAAAATCCATGAGAAAACGGAGCCTGGGGAATACCCCAACGCTCTCCTCTCTACAGCACCAAGCACACAACGCCCCAGCCGTTTGGAAACGCCTCCTCGTGTTTCGCTCCTGCCCAACACGATTCAGACGCCAGCAGCCGCAGACCCTGCCCGCGCCCGGGCCCGCTCTGCTCCCCGCAAAATACAGCTAATTCCCCACCAGCATTACAGAAAACTCAGGCAGCCAGCGAGAAGAACGCTTTTTAAAGAGATATAAAAACAGGATTCTTGTATTGAAACACATGCCACAGATGGTGTAGCAGACGAGGATTAATTCATGAATCATATTTCTTAAATGATACAATCTCTCTTTTCACTTCCATCCTTTCCCTTTTTGACTCAGAAGCAGGGATTTAAGATGCCCTTCCCAGATATGAATTTTGCATGAACAAAAATTGCAGGAGAGGGGGAAAAAAAAAGCAATAAAACAGAAAACCCAGATGTTTAAAGCTAAGTTTTCAAATGCAAGCAAATGCATATCCTGTCCATCAACGAAAGAACACATGTGGAAATACAATATATGCAAGCACAGATACGGTTGGTGGGTTAGCAAATGTCCTCCCTAACATCTGAGATTACTAATGCTTCCCAGTAGCTGTGGCTCAGTCAGGGCTCTGAACTCACCTACTGCTGGTTTCGTACCTTATTCCATTTTACTCAGCGCTCTCATAGCCAGAGGAAAGCCTTAAGTCATTAAGAGAAACCGTTTTGGCGGAGAGGCCCTCCGCGTGCTGCTCCCCCATCCAGCCTGCCTTTCTGCACCTCCTGGCACAGACACTTGCAGGTTGCTCTCTAGGAAAATCCGCTCAAACCTACAAAACTGAGAGGCTTCCACGAGGCACCAGTAAAGCCAAAACGTTCTGCAAAGAGAGCAACCCTAACGTGCAGTTAGGCCCCTACTACCAGGAACAGCAGCAGAAGCACCACAAGTCCCAGGGCTGCCATCAGGGCCACTTTCTAACTGTCAGAAAATGCTTTTACACTTCCTTTCAGTACCAATCCAGCAGATCAGGCAATTTATTCCCTTCCCATACGCAGCAGCTGCTGCATAGGCTAAGCAGCTGCTTCTCAATGTGGCCTTGCACCGAGTGCTGCAGCTTCCATCCGCACATGAAGCTGCAAGTTAGAACAAGGGAAAATCACTTACCCTAAAAGTCCTTCACCCTTCCTCTGCTTTGTGTACGATGTGGGCTTCTCTTTTGGTTACTATTTCCAGACTTGGTCTTTGGGTAGGTGAATGGAAGAGGAGAATGAAAGGAGTTGTATTTGATGATGATGGAGACTGTAAAATAAAGAGAAGCACTTTAGTGCAGAACAGGCCTCTATATACATACATATCAGATTAAATTAAATTAGCAACACCTACATAAATGCTTCCTACTGTTTTTATGCACACACACAAATATCACAACTGTCAAGGAGAATGCGGCTGACAGCGATACAGGGATGGGGGGTTGGAAAGAGCAGTCTTTAAAACGAGGAAGAAAAAAACAGGCAAAAGAGGCAGCACTGAAGCCGCTAGCAGCGAAGAGGCTTCCACCAGGTATTCGCAGGGTGCCAGCCAGGCCGGAAAGCAGGGGAGAGCTAAGGGCTTTAGGGAGCTCTCACAAAGCAGAAGACAGGTCCAGGCACGGTTCACTCTGACAGCCACAAATCTCAAGCAAAAATTCACCCAGACCCTGTAACTATGAAAGAAATAGTCTCATAAGGAGGAATGAACAACTTCCAGAGTTTGGTCGTTGCACCAGCAGGTACTTCCCCAAGAAGCATATCCATCTCCTACCATTGTGGTTAGGAAGCTTCCCCCCGGCGTGCACAGACCCAGCTAACCGAGCGCAGCCACGGACCGGCCGTTCGGCTTCGCGGGGGCACACGGGGACGGGGCTCGGCGCCCTCGGCGCAATCCCAAGGTTTCCTTCCCGCCTTGCCCTCTCCTCACGCACCTCTCGCCCGGCCGCTCCATGCTCAGCTCCAGCACGCGCTCCTAAAGCTCTGCACCCAGCAGGTGAAGTGTCTCGGGCTCCCTCCTTTGCACTTGCCTCCAAAAATTACCGTTCATTTAACATCACAGTTTGAGATCCTGAAAACATAGGCGCTGACTTCCACATTACTGCTTTTTTTTCCCCAAGTCCATGCTGCAGTCATCTCTATACAAATGCATCTCCAGCACAATTAGCGCCAGCCTTAATACTGAAAGAAGCCAAAAGAGAATATTTACCAAATTGCTTGGAAGATGCTCTACTGCTAGTAAAGAGCCTGAGTCAGGGACTGCCATTATTTGCCTCGGAAAGGTCACCGCGAGTAGTATATAAAAACGCATGCAAACACTGAAGAAGCAGAACACAATACCCAGCCCCACTCTCTGCAAGCAGCACAGGATTTAACACTTCTGCGCTGGCCTACAATAAATCCTAAGTGTCCTAGGAAAGCGAGGAAGCTTCTCATTTCTATTTAGCAGAATGAAGAAAGTAAAGCACGGGGGAGTAACGCTGCCCAGGACAGCAAGGACCGAGTCTGGAATAACAACACAGGGGCCCTAATGCACCTCCCTGCATATCCCGCTATCCTGCTGCATTTATACAAGAATACTGTTGTTAGCAGTAAGCAGGGCACACTCATTACCATTTGTTCTAGTGTTATAATATATATATATATATACATTTATATATATATATATTTATATTTAGATATATATAAATATATATATTTTCAAAACACTTGAAAAAATTAGCTGGAGGAGGTGCTAAAGTTCTGGGTATTTTTTCAGTATGCCCGAGCTTTTCAGCTCTCTTGCAAGGAGGCAAAATGTCCTGGTGGCAACAAGGAGGGCGAGGGTGCACAAACACCCTCAGACACCCCAGAAAAGCAGCACAGTCACATTTGGTGCCCTTGCTCCTCCTTGCAAATCGCTCAGTAAGAGGGAAATTTAAAAACGCAGTCAACTGGAATTACCCACAGACAGCAGCAACCTGAAACTATCATTTCGCGTGTGGTTTTAATGTGTGTGGGTGTTTATATCTGAATAACAGTTGGAAACAGCCGAACCTCATGCCTGAAGAGCCACTTCCTCCTCAAGTATTCCAACTAAAAGTGGATACATGACTCCTGCTCAACCGCATCCGCAAAGCCCAAGGGCAGCAGGCAGCTCCTGCACCTCAGCCCAACGTGATGAGCCAGCTTTGTACATCCAAATTGCACCAATGGGATTGATCAGGAAGGCTTTCCACAAAGACTAAATACATATTTAAGTATATGCAACTTCTTAACATCTGCTGTTCATATACGATAGGCCAGGACTCAGGAGTCTTACAGGAGAACTGTGGGGGAAAACCACAACATGGCTGAGGTTGGAAGGAGCCTCTGGAGACAATCCAGTCTCACTGCTCAAGCAGGTTCACCTAGAGCACGTTGCCCAGATGTGCGTCCAGATGAAGATCTCCAAGGCAGGAGACCCCACACCCGCCCTGGGCAGCCTGTCCCAGTGCTCTGCCACCCTCACAGTCAACAAGTTTTAACCTCGTGTTCCGATGGACCTTCCCGTGTTTCAGTTTGTGCCTGTTGCCTCTTGCACTGCCACTGGCCACCACAGAGAAGAGTCTGGCCCCATCATCCTCTCCATGCTCTTCCTTCAGGTACTTACACATGTTCATAAGATCCTTCTCAGTCTTCTCCTGGTTAAGGTGGCCCTGCTCTATACACAAAAATGCTACTCTCTGCAAAAAGGCAGTGAACTACAAAGCACAATGACCTTTTTCTTTTTACCCATGTATCTGTACATCTACCCAAAGAGAAAGCGTGAGGAGAAGGAAGCCGAGCTCTGGACGCATGATGTTTTCATGCAGAGATGAGGCCCAAAGGCAGACCCTGCCACACACAGGATGCACTTTTCCTTGCAGGACCAAACTTTTACCAAATCCAGGTATATCAAGAATCTGGAAATTTTTTTTGATCTTATATATAACTACAGCTTTTGAACCATCCTCAGGACAGCCTGGGGCTTCCTTGGACAAAACTGTGGGGGAAGTGCGAAGAGTCAAGAAACATTATTATTATTATTAATAATAATAATAATTATCCAAAAGGTTTGCTTACAGCTGGCATGTGGTGGGCTCTCCATTAAATTTTCCAGCTTGGCCTTTCACCAGTGCTTTTACTGTGGGAAAGGAAGCCCAAGGAAAACATCCGAGGCTTCAGAGCAAAGGGAGTCCACCCAAGGCGGCCGCTTGGGACACAGAGACTGCGCTACTGAATCGGACCTGCTCCACGGGTGCTTGTCCCCACGCGACAGGTAACAGATGCAAGACACCGCGGATGGAGCCGGAGGAGCCGATGCCGGTGGTCACGGGCACCGGGCAGAGGGCAGCGATCCGGCTACCCGGAGCACGAGCCAAGCGCACACCAGCTGCAAAGGCAAAATGAACATTTGTCCTCCAACAAAACACCCTGCAAATGATCCTTAACAAATTCTAACTGTTGGTACAGTCAGATAAGAGCACAGGAGCATATATCATAGCCTGTTGTTACTGCAAGCTCAGTGCTGCTAAACATGTGAGTGGCAGTGCAGAGAGATCTATATTTTGTGTTTTGATAAAAATTATAGAGCAGCATAATAGAGCTGAGGAGGCAGCTCTGCTCTTCCCTGCATCAGCTCACTCACATTTTTTAAGCCCATTAAATTCCTTGCCGTTTAGTTGCTTTATTTGGGTTCCTTGCTGCAAAACATTGTTCACCGCTCACCAAGCGCTGAAGCCACCTAAATAGTCGCGAGCGTCCACGCAAAACCTCCCAGAGCCTCTCTGAGCAGACGAGAGGGCATCAGCAGATAGAGACAACTCGGAGGCAACCTGAGGTTTAGTATTCTGTGTCAGCTTGACACACAGGGGAAATAACCCTTTAATCCAGTGCAGTGTATTTCATTTACTGTAGTGTTATCCAGTTCGAAGATGTTATGAAAGGAATCCCCTGAGAGACTTACGACTTCAAACCCAGGCCGGGTTTGAACTTAATTCCGCCCTTGCGAAGGGCTGCGGCGGTGGCAGGTGACCTTTCCCGTGGCTCGCGTGCCAGCAGCCATCCCGCGCAGAATGTCACGCCAAATTAGAATATTCGCCTTTTGTTTCAGGCTGCATTTTGTTTTGCCGGGTTGTTTTTTTCCCCTTTTAATTAAAAGCAGCTGTCGCTATTAATGTAATACCACCCCCCTAAAAAATAATAATAAAAAAAATCAATAACGCAAACAGATTAAAAATGGTGACGTGGAAGGAGGGCAGGAGAGCCAAGGGGCTGGGTAATTAGACCTGCGGACTTTCCCCTCTGCCTTAGCTCCTCGTGTGTTGACAGCCCGAGCCTGCCAGGAAGGAGGCCCGTTGCCACCTAACAAAGGTTCCTCACTCTCCAGACCCGCTGGGAGAAAGAGGCCGTTGAAGCTGCTCCCCACTTCCAAGCACGGCCGTGGCCTTCGTTCTGCTGCCGAGGGCTGGTTTCCACTCCTTGTACTGAGGCACTCAGACTTGGAACGTAATTAAATGTTCCCCCATAAAATGCTACGTTGCTTCCAAAAATTCTTCATAATGTCAAATTATTTCACCAGTTAAATGCAGTACAAATAGTCATATTGTATCACTATATAGCTAAAAGTGTTCAGTCAGCACAGCTGAAAAAAATATAAACTAAATATGTCAAGGATGCATTGCTTTCTATTCTTACTATTTTTTTAATGCCTTATTTCATGGTAGATAAGTGAAAAATCTTTTTACTCGACTTAGTGAGAGGATCATTTACTCATGCAAATTTTAAACCAAGTGTCATAATACAATGAAATTATAAAAACATATCAAAAAGAAGTTAGCAAGTCACTAAATTTAGCTCCTAATGGAGTTCAATCTGTCTTATACAGTTGTATGTTAATGCGAACAGCTACAGTACTCTGTAAACATCAGAGTGCAGCTTAGGAGTCATTATATGTGCAAGGAATTTTTGGAAAGAGCCTTGCAGGTTTACAGCCTTCCACAGCTCAAGCTGAGCGAAACTTGGGTTTTGATCCTAGCCAAGATTATAAAAACGCCAGGTAAAAGTAAATTAAAAAGCAGTATGGTAATTATCTCCATACAAGGGCTTTGCTGTGCGTTTTCCATCATCCAGACATGATTTTCGTTAACCTCTTTGCAAGTTCTGATCCCGCTGCAGGACTGGGATGATTTACAGGCCAGGCACTTAGCGTGTGGAGGGATTTTCTAAATCCCTACGAAACATCGGAGCTCACACAGCAAAGCACCGACTGTGGGG